ACCAAAGTCTACGAACCTGTAACTATTGAGCGTACACAGGAAGATTTGCGTTTGCTCATTGCGCGGTTGACCCAGGAGTTGTTTGAGATTCGTGGCGAGACGACGGTCCTTAATCGAGACTTGAAGTCGGCCCGTGACCAGACAGCGGCCTCGCAAAATAAGCTGGCCCAATTGCAGGGTGAGTTGACTAAGATTCGCGGGCAGTACAAGCCTCGGGTGGAGGTGCAGGAGGTGCAGGGGGCCGGATGGGGAAGGTGGGTGGAGTGGAAACGGCGGCGACTGTTGGAGCGGACGCATGTGGGGAAGCTTCGTGGCTGACTCGCGCGAAGGAACGTGCTGCTCCCGAATATGGACCAGATTGTATCGCCTTTCCTGATAGCTCGACGTTCACAAAGGTGACGTTAGGCTCCCACCCGGCATGTTCACTTTAGCGGTCAAGCAAATTGTGCAATTCTCATCCTTTGCGTGGCCCCCATGCTTCGAACGCCCGTCTGCAAAGACTTGTGTACATTTGAAAAAGCGCCTTCCTGTCTTGGCACGGAATCCTGTGGTCGCCGGGTGCGATCAAAGGCGGCGTCAGGGTTGCGGAGCCCTGGTGACTCCACTTTCGATTGCGACTCTTTCCTGGGCACCAGGGGCAACCGTTGACGACGGCTGGGAGCCCGCGTTAGGTTGTTGGTGGCTGCGGGAAAGCGGGAAAGCGCCCTGCCTCACCCCAGACGCTGTTTGAGGAATGTTGGGTGTGGATTGGGGGACGTACGGGCGGCAAGTTGGGTCCCGTTCGGATCTGCAGAGCTGAACATTCGACGGCTCTTGACCAAGACTTTGCTGTGGAAGTTGAGGGACTGGAGATGGTGACGGTTTTGTAGGTGCATTCGTAAGGAGAGCGGTGGAGAGCGGTTGCTGCGAGGGGACGTGGGGTCTGGCGGGGCAGTGTCGACGAAGGGAGGCTCGGAGAGGAACTGGATCCTGACGAAGAAAGCGGGAGTCCCTGCTCGTGCGGAGCGATTCTCTCCATGCATGTGAAGGCGTGACATTGGTAGGCAAATATATACTGTAGTAAGAGCATCCCCACCGGCATGAGCAAAGAGTTAAAAGGTAAAATTTTAGCTTTTACACCCTCATTCACTGAATCCGCTCCACCGGGGAGTCAAAAGCTAAAATTATTTAGCCCGGGGGTATTTCCAGGGTGCAAATCGGTCGGTTTTACACCTTGAAAATAGCCCAGAGCCAAAAGTCCATGACACAAGTGCGAAGCAGTTATTGGTTTCTGGTCGCGGGAATCTGCTCGTATAGTACTTCCCGTTCTCCTACATGTTTCGCTCACGTATTGCCGCGCTTCCCTCTCCAACCTGCGCCTCTCCTTCTGCATCGATCGCAAGGTACATGCGATCTTGCCCGACCACCACCCTGTTTATGCGCTCCCTTTCGCATACCGCTCTCCCAGGAGCAGAACATGCTCCCACCAACCCACCCAATCATTGCCTATTCCATCTCGAGCCTCGTTCCCATCACAATAATGGCCGGTACAGACCAGCCGAAATCCAGAGGATTTAACTATTCCTCCAATGAAGACTGCTCCATTTGAGTGCGTTTCTGCATTTAGCTCTGGCAACACCGGTGGAGTGTGTTGATGTCGGAGCTAAAATGCCAAATGTGAACAAATGCACCTGGGCATGCGCACCAGTAATTGAATGACAAGTGTTGACAATATTTAGCTCTTTGCTCATTCTACCATATGCGTTAGGATATGCCCCTATGATACCCTGTGATAAAGATGATATTCATTTATTCTCCAACCGGTGGGGATGCTGTAAGCGTGGCAAAAGTGCTTTCCAATTTCCAATTTTGCTGCAGATTTCCTCTAAAGGCTTTACAGTACTTGGTAGCTGTTGCGCATGCGTACACGTGTCGGGCGCCCTCTGCCTCCAGAAAGGGCGGCATTGACTCTCGGGCGGACAGCCTCTTCAACCAAATAAAACAATAAAACTTGGTTTCACCGTACCCAAGGGACGGGGCACAACATTACTGTTACGGATGAACCCAGGTGCCAGGTGGCAAGGTGGACACGCGTAAGGCGAATCAAAGCGGACACGGCCGGAACCGAGGCGTACCAACCGAAATGCAGTAGAAGTGGCGGGATCATGCGCGTGGGGAACTGTCGGCGATAGACAGAGGGAGGATGAAGGGAAACCCGTGGCTGCGAGGGAACTGGGACCGGGACAAGAAGACGGGGGAGGCCACCGGCCGTGTGGGTGAAAGGAAAGGGGCAGGAGGAGGGCGCCAGGACTGGGGCAGAGGGAAGCTGAAGGGAAAGGGGGCGCCAGGAGAGGTCGGGGGAAGAGAGGACAGCCCCTGGGCATAGATTACTTAAGAGCCGTCCCTGGAGCAGATAGGGGAGGGGACGGCAGCAGACTTGTGAAGAATAAAGACGAAGACGAGTGGATTCTCGTTGGCACAGGTCGCTCGGTATCTCGCGGAGGAATTGCCGCAACATTACAGTACTTTGTAGTACTGTACGTGCGCAAGTTGATTCTGTCGTAGACTGCTGTACAGGGGGGGGTCGCGCAATAGTGCTACTTGGAGTAGTGCCTCCCCCGATATAGTGCTATAGCTAGAGCTAGAGCTCGGTTACACGTCTACACGTATATTTGTTTCAAAGCAATTAATGATATGTCTTTCTAACATTCCCAATTTGTAGGAAAAATGCGGCTTCAGTATAGTGCCACCCACGCAATAGTGCCACTTGTCGAGGTCTGTTCTGGTATGGCACTATGTCGTGGGACCCCCCGGTATCACAAACGCCGTAGCAAGCGGCACCACGAGGGTGACCCCACCGCGGCTCGCCCAAAACTCCAAAACGTTGACAGCTGGCACATTTTAATTGGCTCGACTATCGCTTGGGCAAGCGACGATTTGGGCAAAGGGGGTCTGCCATGGGACTGGACCCCACCGCTGCATTCCCAATCTGTCGCGGGCGGGAACAATGTCGCGCTCAAGAGAGAAAAGCACAACCTGCGACTGTGCTCTGGCGTCCACAGCCAAGTGTCTGGGCAGTCTGGGCACGCTGTGCGTACGGGCTGATGTTGACAGGCTGATGTCAGCCTGATGTCAACATCAGCCTGTCAACTCAGTTCTACCAAAGGGGACGTCCCTTTCGGTACAACTGTCAGCACGATGAAAATCTGTTAAATTTGCAGACTGTTTTTTAGGAACATTTTTGGTTTGGGCGAGAATCTTGCGCAATTTCCGAACTTTGGGAATCGTAGAGGCGCGGTGGGGTATGCCAATCTTGCCCAATGGCCTAAAAGTTGGTGGTTGGAAAATTGGACAAGGTTTTTCGTCCGCGGTGGCGTCACCCCGAGGGTGATCAGGGTGTATAGCGGCACCTCCTCGGCGCCTTTCTTGGGTGCAAAGTTTGCACGAATGGCGATGGTGAGCCCAAGCAGGGCCATCTCGACGCCATTAAATGCGATGCCGACCCTGCCGCCCGTAAGGGCGCCGAGCTGGGCGCCGGAACGCGCGTCCGGCAAAGTGAAGGCCGACGGGTAGCGGCCGTCAGGGGAGACGGAGGACATGCCCGACAGCATGTTCTCCCATCCACCACCCGGCTCAGCCCTTCTTCCTCACATCGCACCCCACCAACACCTGCACGGCATGTTCATGACCGGCCAGCACCCGCAAATGATGCCCATGCCCCGCAACGCATGGTCATGTTTGCCGGTGCCCAGCACCCGGCCTTTCCTCAGGGCATGGTCATGCAGCCCGCCCACGCCGCCCACATGCAACACCGCCCCCAGGGCCCCGTCCAGCCCGAGACCCAGGCACACAGAAAGCTTCGCATCGAGCACGAGAAGCAGGAACCCATACGTGAGTTTAAGAAGAAGACCAGGGAGGCCGCCTTGGTTCGGTTTTGGCAAAAGCACAGAGGGCGCAGGTTTGGAACAGTTATCCGGTACGACTGCCGCAAGAAGCTTGCGGATGCATGGCCCCGGGTAAAGGGACGGATCAAGGACGAAGATGATATGGAGCCGCCCCAGGTCGTCCCAGGTATGAATCGGTGATAGCATCTCTCGAGGGTGGTTTTTTTGTCGCTTCTTGACAAAAACCTCCTGTGTGTATATAGTAGTGCCAGTGTTTTCGCTAACAGTTGTGCATCTCTCTCCCCCCCTGGTTTGGGAGCATAAAACAAACTATTGACGTGTACATACTAACGACAGCGCCTGACGCTCTTTTTTTGCCCTTGTTGCTATCGTTGAAGCCGGCTGAGACAGGAGAGAGTGACGCACCGTAGCTACTCGGACCCTTCTCCTACTTTTTTTCATTTTAGCGCTGCGGTCGTGCGTTGCTCTTGTTTCATTTTGATACAGAACCGTGCATCTCGCACCATCTCTTCAATGAACGCCTCTCATTCCCATACTCATTCCCATACTCATTCCCATACGTATGCGCCGTACTGTCTCTCTATATGTCAATATCCTGCTAGGGAAAACATCGATGGGCAACAGTGAAAAAGCCAAGCTCCTGCGCCCGCAGTACGGCACGAACGGGGCATACCGTGCTGTAAATTCGGCGGACAGGCTGGCAAGCGAAAGCCCCAAGAAACCACTACAGTCCCAAGGGTACCCTGTAATCCCCCCCGAGAGGGGAACAGACGGTGCAGGCAAATATAGCAACGACCGATGCGACTTTTCTGCCGAGAGCTAGAGGGAGGGCCGTGCGTCCTGGCAAAACGTCCCATCCGTGAATGGAACCAGAGCGCCACACACGACGGACCTCGTGTGATGATGTCACGAGTCAAAAGAAGCGACGTACGGTCCGCACAAAAATGGACCAATTTCTGAAACGTCTATCATACAGGTTTTGGCCACCTCATTGTTCGTGTGTAAGGAATCCTTACTAGTGCCGTGCTGTTTGCATGCATCCTTAGTAAGGATGCGTGCTGTTTGCATGCATCCTTAGTAAGGATGCATGCAAACAGCACGGCACTACAAAACAAGGTGCCACTCTCTCAAGGAAGACAGAGAGTGAGAAGGGTACCGTACCTCCTGAGGACGTGCCTGAGCTCCCTGTTGCCACCGCCATTGCGCAGGAAATCGCTCGCTTCCACAGAAACTTCAAAAGCTGTCGGCCTTCACCACACGAAACGGGATGAATCGATTTCCATCGTGTATCCTACGTATTCATCGTCAACCCGTGCATATGTCCCATGCATTTCTCATGCTCATGGGACAGGGGCCATAGCATCGCCATGAGACAGTAGCGCGCATCAGGCTGCGTTTCGCCCCCACTGACGTTTCCTGAAGACAGCTCACGTATTTCTCCCTTTTGCACGCTGCAGAAGATTCCAGACGACGCGGTCAATAAACCGGAATTCTCAAGACTTTACATGTAAAAAAACCAAACAGGCTATCCCCACCACAGGTGCCACCACGTACCGTACAATAGAAACGTCTGTGTCTGGCCCAGAGGACAAGGGAAGTAGAATATACACACCTAGACCTATACACACCTAGACCACTAGCTTCATAATAGCCACCCGGTGGCCGGCCGCTGCAACAAAGACCCCATGATTATCGTCTACCTCCAACCAGTTTACCCACCTCTCCAGCTGCGCCAAAACAGCCTCAGAGCCATCCTCTCGCTCATGCACAATTTTCTCCCCGCTCTCAAAAACTTTGAGCCTTTTGCGCCTATGTCCAGTGCGAGAGACGGCACCCAAGTCCTCTGCATTCAGAAATCTCTCCACGATATCTCGCCAGTCCTTCAACTTTCCGAGATGAACTGTACTCCCTTTCTCCACGTCCCAAACGCGTACGCCCCCATCAGACGACCTAGATACTGCACGTTTTCCATCACCACTCATCGCAACGCTCGTCACCCCACCCGTGTGTCCAGTTAATGCGTCGCCGATTTGCAGTCCTGTGTCCACGTCCCAAATTCGTACGCTCTCGTCATACGATCCAGATACTGCACGTTTTCCATCACCACTCATCCCAACGCTAGACACCGTCGCCGTGTGTCCAGTTAGTGCGTCGCCGATTTGCAGTCTTGTGTCCACGTCCCAAACTCGTACGCTCCTGTCCCGGGATCCAGATACTGCACGTTTTCCATCACCACTCATCGCAACACTATCCACAACATCCGTGTGTCCAGTTATTGCGTCGCCGATTTGCAGTCCTGTGTCCACGTCCCAAAGTCGTACGCTCCTGTCCGAGGATCCAGATACTGCACGTTTTCCATCACCACTCACCGCAACGCTATTCACCCAACCCGTGTGTCCAGTTAATGCGTCGCCGATTTGCAGTCCTGTGTCCACGTCCCAAACTCGTACGCTCCCGTCCCAGGATCCAGATACTGCACGTTTTCCATCACCACTCATCGCAACGTGAGACACCAGACCCGTGTGTCCAGTTAATGCGTCGCCGATTTGCAGTCCTGTGTCCACGTCCCAAACTCGTACGCTCTCGTCATGCGATCCAGATACTGCACGTTTTCCATCACCACTCATCCCAACGCTATACACCGCCTCCGTGTGTGCAGTTAATGCGTCGCCGATTTGCAGTCCTGTGTCCACGTCCCAAACTCGTACGCTCCTGTCCCGGGATCCAGATACTGCACGTTTTCGATCACCACTCATCGCAACGCTCGTCACCCCACCCGTGTGTCCAGTTAATGCGTCGCCGATTTGCAGTCCCGTGTCCACGTCCCAAACTCGTACGCTCTCGTCCCAGGATCCAGATACTGCACGTTTTCCATCACCACTCATCGCAACGTGAGACACCAGACCCGTGTGTCCAGTTAATGCGTCGCCAATTTGCAGTCCTGTGTCCACGTCCCAAACTCGTACGCTCTTGTCCCAGGATCCAGATACTGCACGTTTTCCATCACCACTCATCGCAACGCTAAGCACCCAATTCGTGTGTCCAGTTAATGCGTCGCCGATTTGCAGTCCTGTGTCCACGTCCCAAACTCGTACGCTCATGTCCCGGGATCCAGATACTGCACGTTTTCCATCACCACTCATCGCAACGCTATCCACCTCACCGGTGTGTCCAGTTGGTGCGTCGGTGATTTGCAGTCCGGTGTCCACGTCCCAAACTCGTACGCTCTCGTCATACGATCCAGATACTGCACGTTTTCCATCACCACTCATCGCAACGCTCTCCACCCGATCCGTGTGTCCAGTTAATGCGTCGCCGATTTGCAGTCCTGTGTCCACGTCCCAAACTCGTACGCTCTCGTCCCAGGATCCAGATACTGCACGTTTTCCATCACCACTCATCGCAACGCTCTCCACCCAATCCGTGTGTCCAGTTAATGCGTCGCCGATTTGCAGTCCTGTGTCCACGTCCCAAACTCGTACGCTCTTGTCTCGCGATCCAGATACTGCACGTTTTCCATCACCACTCATCCCAACGCTAGACACCCAACTCGTGTGTCCAGTTAATGCGTCGCCGATTTGCAGTCCTGTGTCCACGTCCCAAACTCGTACGCTCTTGTCATACGATCCAGATACTGCACGTTTTCCATCACCACTCATCCCAACGCTAAGCACCCAATGCGTGTGTCCAGTTAATGCGTCGCCGATTTGCAGTCCTGTGTCCACGTCCCAAACTCGTACGCTCATGTCCTGGGATCCAGATACTGCACGTTTTCCATCACCACTCATCGCAACGCTATCCACGTAACTCGTGTGTCCAGTTAATGCGTCGCCGATTTGCAGTCCTGTGTCCACGTCCCAAACTCGTACGCTCTCGTCCAAGGATCCAGATACTGCACGTTTTCCATCACCACTCATCGCAACGCTCTCCACCCCATCCGTGTGTCCAGTTAATGCGTCGCCGATTTGCAGTCCTGTGTCCACGTCCCAAACTCGTACGCTCTCGTCCCAGGATCCAGATACTGCACGTTTTCCATCACCACTCATCGCAACGCTCTCCACCCAATCCGTGTGTCCAGTTAATGCGTCGCCGATTTGCAGTCCTGTGTCCACGTCCCAAACTCGTACGCTCTTGTCTCGCGATCCAGATACTGCACGTTTTCCATCACCACTCATCCCAACGCGAGACACCAAACTCGTGTGTCCAGTTAATGCGTCGCCGATTTGCAGTCCTGTGTCCACGTCCCAAACTCGTACGCTCTTGTCATACGATCCAGATACTGCACGTTTTCCATCACCACTCATCCCAACGCTAAGCACCCAATGCGTGTGTCCAGTTAATGCGTCGCCGATTTGCAGTCCTGTGTCCACGTCCCAAACTCGTACGCTCATGTCCTGGGATCCAGATACTGCACGTTTTCCATCACCACTCATCGCAACGCTATCCACGTAACTCGTGTGTCCAGTTAATGCGTCGCCGATTTGCAGTCCTGTGTCCACGTCCCAAACTCGTACGCTCTCGTCCAAGGATCCAGATACTGCACGTTTTCCATCACCACTCATCGCAACGCTCTCCACCCCATCCGTGTGTCCAGTTAATGCGTCGCCGATTTGCAGTCCTGTGTCCACGTCCCAAACTCGTACGCTGTCGTCATACGATCCAGATACTGCACGTTTTCCATCACCACTCATCGCAACGCTCTCTACCCAACCCGTGTGTCCAGTTAATGCGTCGCCGATTTGCAGTCCTGTGTCCACGTCCCAAACTCGTACGCTCATGTCATCCGATCCAGATACTGCACGTTTTCCATCACCACTCATCGCAACGCTACGCACCGCCGATTCATGACCGCAGACACTCCACAAAATTTTCTTTTCCGATACACTCCAGAACTGTAGTGTCCCATCACCATATCCGATAACCGCATAGCGTTTGCTCATACTGACACAACCGCACGTTAATTCTCGGCTCCCCGTTTCAAAATCGTTGCCTAATTCAGTCATCTTCATTTCCTTGTCCGGAGACTGTGTGAAAACTGTGATCCTGGTATCGCCCGGGTCCGAATAGAGTCCATACACGCCACCCGTTGAGTCCATGCCGACTTTGGACACGACGACAATCGGAAGCACAATCTGCTCCACCAAACTTCCTCCCGCTCGCCCTACACATTCACTCACAGGCTGCAGCCATGGTCGTGGCGTGTGTTCCTCGATTTCCTCGAGTATCCTTTGCACGCTACCTAATTCTGATGCCCTGTGCTTCATTCTTCCGTACAGTTGAAAGTAAATCCCTGCACTGCTTTCACCACAAAAAGGTACACTCAGTCGTGCAGCTCTCATCATCAATCCCATCGCATACACCGAATCTCCTTCTCCCGTATCCCTTAAAAGGCTCTCGCTTCCTCCCGTGTTCCTCAAAAAGCTATTGAGATCCTTTACAGCTTCCTCGTATTGCCACACACTTCCTCTCTGTATCACTGCCTTCACCCATCGCGCACTCAAGAATAGATTCTTCAGCTCCTCCACACACCCGCCCTGTTTCAGAACGCGATATATATTCTCGAAAACATACTTCTCTCTTGCATCCTTGCTCTCTCTACCCTCGCTCTCAGTCATACCAAGCAGTCCTCTTCCCTGCCGGCATACATCTGCCAACTTCTTATACCAAACCGTTACACTTTCTTCCTTCTGCGCCTCCTGCACCGCAAAATCGTGCGTCAGATCATGCATCCGTACCCACCCACAATCCTTGTCGTAATGAAGGTCTACCAAACCAACCCTTTCCATCTGAATCGCGTACTTTTCAGCCGATTCGTAGTCCATCTCCCACAAATCTCTTACCAACGACAAAGGCATCCCGTCTTGCTTCTTCATAACACACAGACTCCGATGTATCTTTCGAAACGAAAACTGACCTAACCTCTCCGCATCGCTCCCTATGCCGGACTCCACAATCTCTAGTGACGCATGTAATGTCGCGTCTAACGACAACAAATACCCATCCCCTGGACTCTCACTACGAATCGTGTTGCGGCTCTTCATCTTCGAAAGGTATGCCTCCCACGCTTGGGACTTTTCTCCCTCCCATCTATCTCTCATGTACCTGACACCCGTCCCGGCTACGTTCAGAGCCAGCGGCAAACCAGCACACAATTTCAAGATTTTGCTCACGGCCTCTTTGCACCTCGGATCATTCGCTTCCTCCGGGTTCGCCCCGCTCGCGAGCATGAGCATGTGAACTGAATCGCTCCCTTCCCTTTCCCTCGGCTCGAAAGTCACTCGCTTACCGACCTGTTTCAGCTCTGAGTCCCTCGTGGAATACAGAAGTCTGCTCCTCTCTCGGATGTCTCCTGTGGCGGCAGCGAGAGTGGACAACTTCTGAAGAATACACGCATCTATACCATTCACGGCCCACACATCATCAATAATGAACAGGCATACACGTGTGTTGAACCATGCTCGCATCTCTGTCAGTACCCTGCTCAACTCGCTTTGCTCTCGCATTTCTGCAGCCACCTGCTTGCCACCAGACGCCTTTACGGCCATACACAGTTGCTCAATCAGCCGCCCTACGTTGGCGTCTTTCCCCAAAGACATGAAGTACACTCCGCCTGAAAACCGAGCCTTGATGTCATCGTCGTGCGCAATCGCTCGAAGAGCGCATGTCTTCCCGACTCCGCCCTTCCCCGTTGCCGTCGCTCCTATACTTGTATTCCTATCGGTACTTAGCACGGCCTCCTTTAGCCGCGCCTCACACGTATTCGGTGATCCATCGATCCCCCGAGAATTCAGTTGCAAATATATTTCGTCGGGATTGTGCTCTGCGTGTATACAGGGCGTGAACTTATCAACCGCACATCGTGCGGTGGACGTGACGGCAGCTTGGGTTCCAACTTGGCCACTTGCATTCAAAACTTCTCTCACTTCATCACTTGAATCCTCCTCACATTTCTTTTTCACCCACAGAAACACTTGCTCCACAAGATGTGCCCTTTTATCATGGCCGAATCGATCTCCCGGCAGGTTTGTTGCCCCTACTTCATTTTCAATCCCAGTGAAATCTGCCAGCTCTTGTAGCTCCCTCTTCACCATATCCGTGCTCGCTTCGCGCTGTCGTTCGTCGCTAAAAAACTTCTCAACTTCAAAAATATTCTTTCTTTCATCATCCCAGTAGCGATTTGGATCCAACTCTCTGCATTCACGAATACTTAGTCTGTAAAACACCGGAATCAATGTCGGTGGTCGCATCCCACTCCCTATCGCCTCACTCCGTCGGCGTAGGAAGCAACGCAGTTCCCTCATCGTCCACTTTCGAGCCGCAAACTCGGGAGAAAGAATGAAAACACCGACCTTCGCAGATTCCATAGCCTTCGTCATTTCATCCCGTGCGTAGTCCCCGGGCTCCATCGAGATTTTGTCGAGGAAGCAATTTAAACCATGAGCTTGCAATTTCTCGGAAAGGAGATCTGCGATGAGTACCTTGTCCGGGCCAGCATGGCTTATGAACACATCGGGAGACTGTATCTTTCGCCGTTTTCTACTTGGTCCCGTCTCTTGCCGGAAGCTTTCCTGCATTTTTTTGTGAATACGTAAAGACAAGTTGGTGAGGAGCGGAGTGTGATTTCCGTGAGAACGGCACCGGCTGTTAGAAAAACAGGGATGCGAAAGTTGAAAGCCGCGTTCAGCGCGCGGCACTCTTGTCGTTGTGGACGAAAGCGGAAACAGTGGCGACGGTCGTGTGGATCAGTAGGATGAGCTGATGTGCTTTCGCTTGTTTTTTGGAAAATGAATGTGTTGGTCGGGAACTGGGGGGGGGGGGGGGTTTCTGGGTGGTCCCCGTCGCAGCTTTCACCGCAGCCTCCAGAAACTTTTATTTCCCTCGGCGAGCGCTTCCAGAAACGTCCAAGCGTCAACCCTAAAAAATCCATAAAATCTAGCACATCAACAATTTGATATATTTTGGCAATTTCTCCACTCACAGAATGTTCGTGTGATTCCAGCGGGGAAAGACGCACTCACCCTAAAACATGAAAAGAATCATGAAACGTTCGTTATTTTCCATTGGCCCACAAACTCGCTGGACGTAAAGTAAACCCGAGTTTGAAAAATCCCACCACCAGTTTTGCGGACTGACCTCCAGCAAGGTACCTGCCCACAACAAACGCAAGTCTGGTACATCGTTGTGCCGTCCGACGGATCACGTGCACCCGGGCGAATACTCGCCGAAGCGAATATTGTAGCTCGCCACAAGGATAGAATAGTTCTCAGTCGAAAGGGCGATGTGTTTCGTCTTCTTGACGGCCTGAGGGGGGCCGTTTAGAGAGGACCGCTTTTTAGAAGCTTCTACCTGTCTGTCTTCTGCGATTGCTTTAGCGGCATATGTGGCGGATCTTGTGGTGCTTCGATCCGTGATGGACTCTGGATAGATGAAGTGATAGGGGCGTCCATGACGCAAACCGATACGAACCGTGCAGTATGAGACTCGTTTGTACTGATGAGAGAGCGGAAACCCCACTTTGTTTTCCTTCAAGACGGGTCGATCCGGCACTGCCGTACAGTAATCAGGCGGATGTGAAACCCCGTGGAAAACTCACATGTCCCGAGTTTTCGGTATGCTGTGAGTTTTGCAAAACTCGTTGTCTACCGGCTGAGGAGACATACGCACCGTGACAGCGGGGACAAACGAGGGCAAACTCAAAAGGGCTTGGTGGGGTTGAGCGCAGTGCAAAAATTGCGGATGTCTGCACTACTGCCGAAAATGTCTGCACCACAGTGCAGACAATAAGCAATCCAACAATTTTACTCGAACCCACTGTAATTACGATGGCTGACAGTCGCGGTAGCAGCCGGGAGACAAGCATATTGTCTCCTGGCTTACATCGTGCGGACACGCTGCCTCGTGCTGCGATATGATGCCCTCGGGAAGCCTCGGTGCTCATATCTGCACTCGGAGCGTGTCTGCACTCGTAGCCAGTAGACAACCCCTACCTGTCCGAAAATTTTGCAATCAGAAAATCCGAGCAAACTCGCGGCCAAAACACGTGTCTTCGCGACTTTACGGACAACGTTAGAACATCCGAGCAAACTCGTGGCCAAAACACGTGTTTTCGCGACTTTACGGGCAACGTTATTGATTTATCTAACTTTACTGTGTTTACGTCCCACCCAACCAACTTGGACGAAAGTGTTGTATGCTTAGGGGAACGAGAGATGGGAAAGTGTTGTATGCTTAGGGGAACGAGAGATGGGAAAGTGGTGTAAGGTGAGGGCTCGGGGAGAAGGATTGGGAATTGTGTAAAGTGAGGGTTGGTCGTGTAGTGCCCCTCTTTTTATTCATCTCTGCGCGTGCGCTCATATATTACCGGCAGCGCAGCCTCCACTCCGAGGTAACAGTACATGCCTTAATTTAGCAAATCGGATAAATTTGACATGTCGAAATTTTGATCGTCAGCCCAGCATTTCCCGCGAACCCCGACACCGAAACACTGTTCTCTTAACACAACTTCGTCTTTCTCAAAATATAGTCCCCTATTCCACGATTTATGGCAATGGACAAAGGCCAAACTCCCCTGCGATTCAAAAATTGGCGCCTTTTCGTGACACACGACACTATATATCCTTCTATTTGCAAAGAACTGCAAAGAACCTCCACCTCTTCAACGATGGACTCCGAAACGTTTCGTCTTCGGGAAGCCGTTGTCGATCGGAAGACAGAGTCCCCTACCCCTTACAAGTCTCTAGCAATCAAGCACAAGGTTTCCGTCTCGAAGATTAGAACGGCGTTCCGTCACTGTTGCGCTAATGCCCCGAATTCTCAACCACAATCGCCTGCTGACATCCATATCCTCCTAGTTTCCCCTGGAAGGCCACACGCAATACCAGAACTACACGAACTTTTGCTCGCTGAAGCAGCATCTTACTATGTGGAAAACAATACGCCACTGACAAGAAACGGCGTCATGGACCTTATTGTACAATTCCGAGAAATGCTTGCTCCGGCAGAACAAAGTGAATTTAAATTCAAACACGACAGACCTTCTCAAAAATTCATCAATAACTTCATGCAAGGAACGGATTGAGGTACCATCACGTAAGGCAGGTTGAGAGTCGGCGGTTGGATGCACTCTCTCCTCTCAATGTCACGGCACACATATGTAGAGTGCGTGCTGCTATGACTCGGTTTAATATTTCATCTCCTGCTCAAGTGTTCAATATGGATCAGTCTGGAATGTCGTTGGCGAAAATTGTAGGTCGCTGTCTTCGCAAGGGCGTTAGAAGACAGAACGTAGTTCTGCTACAAAAAACAGTTCGCACAAAGGGTGCACCTGATAGAGTTACTATAATGCCAATCGTGTCAGCAGATGGAAAGCCGTACAAGCCGGTTATCATTTTCCCAGGGCAGAAACCACACTACCGAACGATTAGAGGAAAAACGGAAACCCTGCACTCCGTACTGATGGATTGCTACCTGTTTTATCGTCCGATGCCAGGAGCCGACTCTTCAATTATTTTTAATTGGGCTGCTAGGTTTGTGGAGGAAACAGCTGTGCTTCGTCAAGGAGGTAAGTGGCTGCTACTCGTTCTGGATAGGTATTCTGCGCATGTCCAGTATCGTTTTTTAAGCTTAATGAAACAGAACAGGATCCTAGTTATTGCTCTTCCTGCACACACATCCCATGAACTCCAGCCGCTCGATGTGTCTGTGTTCGGGGCCTACAAATCCTACTTGCAAGCTGAGTTGCATCGTTCTGTTCGTGCAAACTCAACGCTCAATGCCTTTACTGTTGCGTCATGTATTCATAACGCGTACTTGAAGTCATTTGTACGCCCGACAATTCAGGTGGGTTTTTCTAAGTGCGGGCTCTGGAGCAAGGGAAAAAACGGAACAGATATAAACGCACTTTCCAGACTTTTTAAAGTTGGTGACGAGGTTACTGTCGAGAAACTTATTTTTGCTTTCAACAAAATCGAGAGATCTTTACTGAGGGATGCAGACGTGGAGGAGGAAGGGCGGGTCAGGATCAGTACTGCAAATGGAGCTCATTTGACAAGCGAACTTGTTTTGCAAGCTCTCAAAGAAAGGGAAGAAAAACGAGCACAAAACGAGGAAAGGAGAACTAAAAGCAGAGCACAAGGTGAGGGTTCCGCAGCGAGGGCTGAGTCGGCAGTTGCAATGCGGAGATATGCCGCCCTTGCTGATGAGCGCTCTATTTCAGTGACGCCACTCATGGCAAGAGTGAATCACTCAGCGTGATCATCACTCAACATCATCTGTTCAACACAGGGCAGTGACATCACTCATGGCCAGAGTTCATCTCTCATAGTGATCATTACCCAAATGATAAGTGATCATCACTCAGTGAGACCCATTCCCCGAGTGACCTCCCTTGTCCTGAATAAAAATCCTGCACGCTGCCCGATACGTCTACACATTCCGGCGTCACCATGTTCTACGTTTGGCATTGAGCAGCTTTTTCGAAACGTTGGAAGTCATAAAGTTCCATGTGTCCGCCCAGGTGCGAAGTGGCTTCGCACTGGATCAATCCAGTTTTTCACGTTCTGGTGCGGTTCTGTTGCCGTACGAGTTCACGGGGAAACTCTCCTGCATGCATTACCGATAAAGTTTACAGACTGAGTAGATAGACATAATGGTGCTATTTGCGGACTGATACGGGCGATGCCCGCCTGCGAAAAGACGTGCAGACAGGTTAGAAGCAAATATTCTTCAAACATCTTCAGATTCTTGTCCCTGGCTGCTATGTTTGGCTCTCACTGTATACTGAAATGTACTTTTCTCTGCTTCCGTTATAGACGCGCGAACCAATGTGTCCACGGAGTGCCACTCTTCCCAACATTTTGTACATATTGCTTGCCTACAAACTACGCACCACTTTCGCTCTCTTGGTCCATTTTTCTTTGTATAGCGCTTCCCTCTATACTTAAAAACATGAGTGTAAGAGCAAAGAGAGCAGTATGTCGCTTGTCCTTTGACAGTGCGATGTATCGGTGTTGAACTTAATCTTCGCGCTTTGTCTGTTGCTCTGTTGTATTTTTTGGCAGCTTCAGAGCCATACATTGGCTTTAAAGACATAGGTTCTGGACCATGTAGGACTGGCGAAGAAGCGTTCTGCGACGTACGTCGCCCACTACATAACATGTAGTAGTCATTAACTTCAGCTGCAAGGCCTCTAACAAAAGCACTGAACGTCTCACACTGCGTTATACTATGACGTAATTTGGTATATCCGGACCTACTGGTGTTGCTTGCCACATAACAACTCGTAAGTAGCCCCTTGCTTCTTGCAACTGCTAGGCGGTGTAAAATAGCCGCGTTGTTAACCTGAGAACATAAGATACGTCCAATCACGCTAACGATTGGATTCTCGGACGTGTTGGTCTTTGTCAAAGACTTCATTGCTCTACTGTACTCGTCAACGCCGCCGTTTAAAGAGTTCCAGTAAACCAGCAGTGTAGGCCTTAACATTCGAGCAGGAGGCAGAGGCATGCCTCTATCTCGTACCAGTTTTTTGTATGCCATGCTAAGCCCGTAGAAGGATGCAAAACTGTGGAGGTCA